TTCCTCTATAGGAGAGACGTTAACTAGAACTGAGATAGAAGCAGATGAAATACAATGTTCGATCCATGAAATCCACTTATCTCCAAAACCCATAACTTTCAATAGCCTCAATAAAATCGGCTATTCCACCGAATCATAAGCTCTTTAAAAATCAACTTTGAAAATAACACATTTCCTCCCCTTATTTCTCTAAAAATCAATGGCTTCATTAGCTAAAAAAAGAACATTCAAGCAGGCGCCTTCCAGGGATAAAGGCAAACTGTGAGAGGCTTATAGTGTCTTGAATAACTGAAATAAGCCTTTTGGATAAGACTTTGGAGATAATTTTATACAGGCTGCCAACTAAGCTTATTGGTTTATAATCTTCAATACCTATAGGATTTAGAGTCTTGGGGATCAAAGTTATGAAAGCATGATTGACCCCATGCTCCTAATTCCTTCCATTATGAAAATAATCAACAAATTTCATAATGTGAGCCTTCAGGTTTATCTAGAATTTCTTGAAGAAACCCATCATGAACCTATCTGGACCCGGTGCTTTGGATCTGTCCGAATGAAAAATTACCTCCCAAACTTCATGCTCAGTGAAATTCCTTTTAAGAACCTTATTTGTACATGATTCAATTTCGCAAAATTTAGATTTAATTCGTCCACCTCTAAAGTTGCTTTTGAATTGTAGTTTTGCTTGAAGTAATCTAAAATACAGCCTCTCAACTGCACCGGATCTGAAATAACATCACCAGCTACCTTCAACGATGAAATGGTATTAATGTTGTTTCTATTCAGAGCACATAAGTGAAAAAACTTGGTGTTTCTATCCCCTCGTTATTCCGCTTCAATCTTGACCTCTGAAGCCAAATACTCTACTCCTTCCTATGCAAGTACCACAGTTCCTTTCTCGATGTACCAAGCAGCTCCTTTCTGAATAAATATCCACCACTCTGAAACTTTAGCTCCAGGTCGTTAATTTTTGCTTCCAATTCTGAAATATCCTCTGAAATCCCCCTATGGTAACTTCTTGGCCAATTCCTGATAGCCTGCTTAATTCCTTTCAGAAGTGTAAACAACCCGCTACAACCGTTATCCTTCCTCAAATTTAAGAAAGAATTTTCAACGACCCCCGTAAACCCCTCTCCCTCTAGCAAATAGTTGAAAAACCGAAACGGCTTAGGACCCCAATCATTGCATTCTTCTACTAGTACCATCGGATTGTGATCCGAGAGGGATTTGGGTAGCATTCTTTAGATCACATTACGAAAATGATTTAATAGTGAACCACTTATCAGAAATCTATCTAGCCTTACCCAAGTTGGAGACTCTCTGAAATTGCACCAAGTGAATCTCCCCTTACTAACAATAAATCCATCAGATTCAAACGATGAACAAACGACCTAAACATCTCCATGGAATGCCAATTATGTGTAAATCCACATTTCTCCTCAGGAACCAAATATGCATTAAAATCCCCCCAATACAGACAGGGAGATTCAAGCTTTGAACGAAACACAAAAACTCCTTGAAAAACTCCTCTTTGTCAGTCTCCACTGAAGGACCATACACATTTATAATAACACATTCAAAATTACTCAACTTTAACTTCCCTGTTAAAGCCATAAATCTTATCTGCTTATATTCCGTGCTGAACTCAAATAGATCCTCATTCCACAAACACATCAAGCCACCTGCAGAACCATCAGCTGTAATAGAGCTCCCACATCTCAGCAAATTGGCCCCTAGCTTCCTTCTCAATCCAGTTCGGCAAACATTAAGTTTATTTTCCTGCAAAAGCAAAATGGACGGCTTTTCTCTAATAACCAGTCTTGCCACAACTCTGATTTTTTCTTTTTTTCCCCAGCCCCCTAACATTCCAAGAAATAATTTTTAATTTTGACATATGATTTGATTATCGTTAACCACCACAATAAATATGAATGAAACGATCAGGGACCTTTTCGAGACCCCTTCATCTGCAACTTAAATATTTCATCTTCTAGAATCTATTGCTCCCCTTTAAAAGAAATTCCCAGCATGTCACAAACCTCCCTAGTAGCAACAACTTCCATCCTAGCTTCAGCAAATTCTTGAGAAGACTGTGAATGGTCCCTGACATGTTCCAAAGAATCCCTGACCATACTACCAATCACCCTTCTATAAACTCTATCAAAAAAGTTTATTGTAACTTCATCAACCGAGCACACACTTCCTGAATGAGAAGGTGAAACTCTTAACTTTCTCTGGTTAGTAGAGATATTTGAACAATAAAGAGCTTGAGCAGGATTTTCTGAAGAGGCCATAAAGATCTCCTTAGCTAAACTAGAGCCATCCTAGATTGCTCCAGAACTGGTTCCATCTCGGATCACCTAGATTCTGTCTCTTCCACTCGAATTTGGGAAGCTATCATCCTTACAGCTGCACAAATGATCCTCCATAACCATCTTTATTTTTTTAGGACCGACCGGATTATTCCCAGAAACAAAATTCCCATGGCTACTTCTCTGCCCACAAGATTGTTCAATATCCAACTGGACATCCTGTTCTCCTTGGATGAGATCCTTCTCCTCCCTTAAAGTCTTTCTCCTCAACCTAGAATCAACATCCTCTACCTCAAGCATAGGATAGGCTGAACTGTTATTAGGTTGCAGTATAAATTTTTCCCCAGTCCATTTTATATTATACGCAGGCCTAGGAAGACGTAAATCCTTAGTAATGGCAAGAGTAACCTCATTATCCTCTGGTTGGGCATTTTCATATGTGAAAAATAATTCTCTCAGACTCATACCCAAGTGATTTCCCAATTGAGAAGTCCTATTATCCATAAAACCTAACGACCCACAATGTGATGTTCCTGCTTTTGACTTACTCGAGGAAGCATGTCTCTCACTAACTCCATATTAGCCACAATTATGACCAATATTCAACCAGGACAAAACTTTAGTCCTAGAATTCTCTGTTCTCTCATTTTTATCTGTTGCTAGAATATGAGAATGAACATCCTCCACCTTGGAAAGGACGTAATTACTGTTTACCTTTTTTGAAAATTTATCATCCTTCCTACTCCACAACTCCTCTGGTTGAATCACCCCAGACCTGATGAAGATCTTGAGTTTGAACGATCTACCGTAAGAGCCTACAATAGCCATTTCTGGGACATCAAATGGACTCTCCACCCTGAGCAAAACTTTTACTGATGATAGATCAGATCTGTTCTTTGATTCTTCCTTAAAACATATAAACCTTCCCATGTCCTAGTAAATTTTTCCAAGAAAGCCTCATTCCAGCACAGAAGAGGCAAACCACATATTTCTACCTAGCACAGATCCAAAGGAACTCCATTCTCATTCAGAACTGGAGGCGACCAATCAAAACAAGAAGATAGCTCAACCTTCTTATTCTCCCAAACATAAGAGAACTCATCAATCGACTCAAAAGTGATGAAGCAAGCCTTCCATGCATAACCCTAACTCAAAACATGGACTCCCAAACCCTCTATCTTCAAAGCATCCTTTATCGACTCATAACTCAAATCTGGTTTCATTAACCTAGTTAATGATCATTTAACTCAATCCGAATTAACTGTCGGAATATACAACTCCCAAACATTCCTCCCTCCACTTGCTTTCTTTTTGACACCATCCAGGTTTGACCCTGAGACTTGTACTCTTATCATGTTGGTATCAGACTGCACAACCTCCTTGTACAATCTATCATCCCTAAAAATTTTCATCGACAGTGCATTCCTCCTAGTGTTAGAAGTCTCATACTTTCCAGACATACTCCCCAACGTCCTCTTCCCAACATCAACCTCCCTCCTACTTGCCTTATGGTACTTAGCAACCCCTATAAAGATTCTTCTCCCATCGAACCACTTCCCATTGATAGACTAAACTTCTTTCTTCCTACTTTCCTCATCAGCGAATTGAACAAAAGCAAAAGTAGTGGACTTATAATTTGATTTCTCTAAACAATGAGGAATGAAAATCCTCAGAATCTGACCATAAGGACTAAAGAAATCCCTTAATACACGCCTTGAGACTCTCTTACTAAGATTGTTAATGAACAAAGTCTATTACTCAACAGAGAAAATGGACATTTCCAAAGCTTCTCTCGCTCTCTCTCTACCCAGCGTGCTCATTTCATGTGCGAGATGGCTGAACCATACATCCACAAAACTTCTTTTGAGTTCTAGTCTTTCTCCAGATCTTACTGCGACAGGAATGAGACAATGCATGATCTTGTTGTGTTACCCCATCTAACCACTCTCGCCAAAAACCCCTCACTCTCTAAAGCTTTCTCAGCGAACTCCAAATCAAGATTCTCTTTAATCAATCCTACAAGAGACAGATCGAGGTAGAATGTGAAACTCAAGCAGACCACCTCACTGTCCCTCTTTACTACTTGGACTTCCTCGCTTTCAGATACCTCCTTCAATCTCGCGACATCCTCCAATGCCATATTTTTCTCCAGCGTCCATTCCTCCTCCGGCCTTATCGCCTTTTCCTGCATCCTGATTCCCTCCGTAATCGGGAACCCATCCGCCACCTTTTCACCTCGAACGACCTCCACGTACTTTCTAGAGTCTCTGGTCTTGTTTGGCCAAACCTTAAGAACTCTTCCTTTCATGATGCCGATTTATGCGCTCCTGAAAGCGGGACCTCTCTCTAAACCTGTTTTCCCCTACTCTAGGAAAACATAGCCTTTGCCGGATATCTCGCCATCGTGACCGAAATGGTTCGATCCTCTAATATCTTCTTATTCATTCTCCTTATGGCCACATCCATATGTCTTCAGGAAGCAAAGTGCACGAAGGCGAATATAGAGCTCCTATATCTAGGTTTTTTATTGTCTGACGGAATGAAGATAGAAGTCACCTTCCCATATTGACCGAAAGCTTCCCTCAACGCTTCTCTCGAAACCCGCTTACTTAGGTTGTCCACAAATGCCGTCCATTCCTCCCTGAGATCGCCGTTTCTCTCATCTAACCTTCTAACCCTGGCATTCTTTTGCTTGTGTCTTTTGCATTTTACTTCAGCCACAACTTCTTGGGCTATTGAAACTGTAGCATTGATTATCCAAGCAAAATATGAAAATGTAGTTACTTTTCAAAATTTTGAGGTTTGACTTGTTGCTTCTTAGGCCAGTAATTGGAACTCTTGAAGAGATTAATGTTTAGTATAAAGAATTGGCTTTTTATCATCTGATTGTGTAATTACCTCACATAGCTTATATTGACTTTTTCTAGTTGCATTATTTGGTCAATCATCACCTTTGCCTTGGGCTGCTAAAACTTTGATATTTGATTCACAGCTTTGTAAGCGAACAAATTGAAACTCTTGAAGAGATTGATGTTGAGTATAAAGAATTGGCTTTAGAATCCGGTATACAAAATTGGGGTCGTGTTCCCGCATTAGGATGTGAAGCAATGTTTAGATCAGATCTCGCTGATGCTGTAATTGAGAGTCTTCCATATGTGGGAGCTATGGCAGTTTCAAATCTTGAAGCTAGACAGGTACTTTAAAGCTTTCCACTATATTCTTATAATTTAAGAGAAGTGCCTTTTCTAGAGCATTGAAATATGGCTTGGATTTATTGAATATATGAAGACTTAAATACGTTTTGAATGTATACATGCTGCAACTAAGCTTATTTGCATGAAAAAGTGCATGGTTGTATCTTGCATAACAGTGATGCCTTGATGTGTTTCATTTATGCACTTGAGTGATGGGACTGTAAGGAACTTCAGATCGTAGTACAGAATTACTGTTTCCTAAAATCACATGGCAACTTTTGAAATCTTGACGGGATAAATTAGTTTAGGTCTGGTACCCCACTGGTGGTGCATTTTTACTGGTCAATGTTATAAAATGAACTCCCGAGTAAGTGAACGATGAAAGGACTTGTAATACCTCAAAGAAGAGTTAGGTCTATAAATAAGATTGGTTATTGTGGCAATACAAAAATGACATCGTGTTGTTTCAATTGCACAATGCTACCATGGTTTGACATTGTGTTTTTGTGCAGTCGTTAGTTCCCCTGGGCAGTGTGGAGGAGTTTTTGGCAACTTATGATTCGCAACAAAGGGAGCTCCCACCACCTGTGATAGTTTGGGAATGGGGTTGGACGAAAAGTGCTGAAACTTGGAATGGCAGAGCAGCCATGCTGGCAGTGCTTGTGCTGTTGCTACTCGAGGTCACAACCGGATAGGGATTTCTGCATCAGTGGGGGATATTGCCCTTGTTCCACTAAATCCGACACACTCGTAATGAAGATAAGTGTAAATTTTGATATGATAAGCAGCAATTTATATACATTGTATTAGAGAATATGTTCATAGATAAAATACGTGGGAATTGGGTGTCGAGATTCAATGCATTAAGATCACACACTGATGCAGGGAATAGTTTTTAAGTCTTTGAGACACAATAAGCTCTGCATGCAATTTTAGTTGTGTGTGAAAACTGAAAAGGGAATGCCGGTCTTGTAATCTCTCTCTCAAATTCAATCTTTATTATCTTTCTTTCTTGACAATGGAGATCACTTATCTATATTTATACATAAGGCTTTGTTGTTATCACGGGTCAATTTGATACGGAATCAGTTGGTAAATTATTAAAATATCTCTATTTTTGAAAATTAATATTATTATAAGGATGTTTTTAACTTTTTCATATAATTTTTAAGTAAAACTAAAATATTATTTAACATTTGAACATCGGAGACCAATCGATTCATATTAAATTCTTTCGTCATTCCACTAATAATCAGGCAGATCTGAGTGAAGGAAAATGTTGTTGCATTCATCAGTTATGTTATGGCAATGGTTTCGGCGGCTGTCGAGGTTTGCTGTTTTATTTCTAACCTTACTTGATCAGAGGTGGACCCAATTGGATTGTGTATAATATCATACCTAATTATCTAGGCTTGTAAACGAACCAAACGTTAAGCGAACCAATCGTGAATCGTTCGTTGGAAAGTTCGTTTATGTTCGTTTATTTATTAAATGAACGGACATGAAAAAGATTTTATATTCGTTTTATTAAATGAACGGACATGAAAAAGATTTTATATTCGTTTAATTAAATGAGCGAACACGAACAAAAGACTCTTCGTTCTTTACGTTTGTAAACGTTTGATAATCTATTCGTTTATGTTCGTTCATTTATGTTCATTCGTTTATGTTCTCCAGACCTGTTTGAAATGTAAAGATTTAATAAATTTTAACCTTAAACCCATTAAAAGTTTAAATTCAATTAATTTTATACCCAAATAAAAACTACTCAAATCAATTAAAGAAAACATAAATCCTAAAATTATTTGAAAAGAAAAAATTTCTTCTCGAATATAAACCCAATTACTTTTATGTTTGTTCATTTATATTCATCCATTTGTGTTCGTTTACATTTGTTTATATTCATCCATTTGTGTTCGTTTACGTTTGTTTATATTCACCTGTTTGTTTCTGTTTACGTTCGTTCATTTGTGTGCGTTTATTATTTAAACTATAACGTCCTAATCCAGTACGACCCGAAGATCGACAGACTAAAGCGTCACATGGACCACTGGAGTGGCTAACCCAATTTTTTTCTCTTTTAAACAACATATTCATTTACTTTAAAATCTATCCATCGTAGAAATAACAAAATAAATACATAATACTTGTTTTATAAATACGGGAGCCCCAAAATGATTTAAGTTAAAATTTACTAAGTATCCAAAACATATCATTTCAAATCGAACATATAAGGGTCCATATACAATACATGCCCAGTAACATAAATCTGAGACGTACTCAAAAGCTGCCGGCTGAGTGCAGGGTGATCTAGGTTATGGCTCCTTCAAAAGCTCCTTCTACTAACCTGGGCGCGAAAACAAATTCTGAATGAGGAGCTCTCAAGCTCAGTGCCACATTAATAACCAAACTATACTACATGCGTCCTAATGCACATGCTATTAACATAACTATTAGCATACGAGTATGCTACACTAAATCATACATACAGATGCAGGCATCGTGGTGTGGTTGAGGGGCTATATCTCGAGCTCACGCAGCCCTCTACCCTACCTAAGGTGGAGTTCCAAAATTCTACATCGAAAACTATGCGTCCGACTAACTTGCTCCGTCGATCCTTGTGGCATCTACACACAATTAGCAAAGAAATGCCTAGTGCACTACCTTGGGTTTGGCAAGATATCCTAACATAAAATCGTTTCTTCTGTTACTAGGGCAGTTCGTGTGTTCGATTCATTTCCCGAACGTCACAAAAGGTAAGTTTTATGATTCCCAAAGTTATAGGGTTTCTAGGTGAAAATTCACATTGTTAATATTGTTCTCACTTGATATCTTATTGGAGAATTAAGGATATTTTGGGTCACTCAGCAATATCTCTAGATTTCATAAATTTCTTATTCAAAAAAGTGTGATGGTATCTGTTGAGTTAATCGATTTACGGAATCGGCCAAGAGGGGGGTGAATTGGCAATTAAAAATTTCGTGGAAGCTTTTGCAGAAAATTTAAAGAAATTGCACAGCGATTTACAGTGGTTCGACTTTCTCAAACAAAGTCTACGTCCACTACCTTAGCTATCCACACTAAGGATTTTCCAACAAATTCACTAATTTGTTCTTTCTTTTGAGGCCAAAGAGATAACCTTACAAAATCCCTCAAGGGTATACCCCAACTCTTGAGAACACTCTCTTTCCCAAAGAGAAGATTACAAATTTGCAAACTTACAAGAAAACCTCACAAGGTAAGATGTTTGCACAATTCTAGAACAAAGAAAAGAACACTCAAAGATAAATACAATTGAGTACAAAAGTGTTCTTGAAAGCAAATGAATATTGGATGAAAAATAGGCTTGAAATGCTCAAACTTGAGGTTTGATGCTTTCTCTTTGATTATCTCTTGATTCTAGTTGCTTGATGTTTCTTGTTTTTGATCAATGGCTCCAGAACTTGTTTAAATACCCCTTGAATCAATTCTGAACGTTGGTGATAATTAGTGGGGATAATAGAGCCGTTTAAGTGTGAAAACAATTAATTTTTCTAGGTGGAGCGTCTCATGCATCGATGCATGATCAAGTATGCATCGGTGCATTCGTGTAAAATTAAAATATTTTGACCGTTGGAACACTTGATGCATCGGTGCACCAAGTGTGCATCGATGCATGAAATGCATTCGATGTTTGAAAAATAGCCTGATGCATCGATGCATGGCTTGTGCATCGATGCATCAAATGCATTCGATGTTTTGAAAATATTCAGAGTGCATCGATGCATGGAGAGTGCATCGGTGCATGGAATGCATTCGATGTTCAATTAATTCATTGATGCATCGATACATGTACTGATGCATCGGTGCATGCCTTTGAATAATTGATTTAAGGCTTGTTTTTGGTTCAAAATACTTTGTGAAAATTGTTTCAAAAATAGTTTAAGTACAAATCACAATTTCACACATTTAGTAAGGATTAAAATTGATCTTGAAAAACTTGGAGTAATAATTTGATATTCGATTAATTGAATCGAATATAAAATTGTAAAATCATTTGTAAAATCTTAAAATTCATTTCACTTAATTTGTTATATCGAAATATCAAAAATGTTTTCAACAATCTCCCCCTTTTTGATATAACAAAACATTTGAGTAATTTTAAGATTTGTTTAAGAAATTATTTTTGAAATCGATTTTGAAAAACTTACTCCCCCTTACTATATAGCACATCTTAAATTTTCTCCCCCTTTTTGTTAAATCAAAAAGACTCTATATAAACGTTTTAAACAAGAATTTTGAAAAACATTAGCCAATTGATATATTAATAATAAGCTGCTAAGATCACAATCAAAAGAGAGATTAGCCATTAGTTTTCATAAACAATATTCATAATAAAATGTGAAATGGAATAATTGGTCATATATCTAATGATGCAAAATGAATAAAATTCAAACCAAATATATTAAAATTAAGTTCAAACATTTAAGCATCCAATAATCCAAACAAACATAAACATTCAAATCAAAAAGTTTAACAATCCAAGTTCTTAAAGTTTAAAAACAAATATCATCAAATAACGTTTAATCATCCATAGCGGAATCGGGAGGAGGAGGAGGATAATGAGCTCTAACTTCAAGAGTAAGAGCATCCATACGATCACGCATCTCCCTCTGAAACTCAGTTATCGTAGACTCCATGGAAGTAAAACGCAGATCAAACGACTCTAGAAAAGATTGGAAATAAGGTGGCGTTTGATCATCTTGCCGAGCTGGTACTTCCTCATCAATATCTCTCATAAGCCTTTGAAGCTCTGGATCATTATCAGCGTCAGGAGCTGGAGGAGGAGGAGGAGCACGAGAAGAACTAGGAGCAGCTCGTGAAGAACTAGCTCCCGGGGTTTGCTTACCGGGTCGAAAAGATCATAGTCCGGTGTTCTCATCCAATTTCCAATCCGATTTCTTTAAGGATGTGATATTGATTGGGTTTTGGAGCGGAATAGGATTGTCAAGGGAGACATCTAGGCCGAGTTTGATAAACAACTTGCTTAGTAGACAACCATAAGGTAGGGTTTCTACATGCTTTGAGGGAATGATGTTTATGATATCGACAAGCGCGCTAAAGACAATATGTGGAAAATTGATTTTCTTTTTGTTCTTTATACAGTGCATCCACCATAAGTCTGTAGTACGTAGTGTGGAGTACCGACCTGCGGATGGTCTAAACCACCAAGAGATCATTAAGTGAAGAAATCGATCGTGGTGAGACCTAAAGGTACTGACACTAGCATTAGGAAGATATGGATATTCCACATCTTCCTTCTCATTAAATAAACCCTCGTCATCTAAACCAAAATGAGATGCGATGAATTCAGAAGTAATAGTGACATATTGTCCTAAAAGATAGGATCTAATCGCTATAGTACCGCACTGAGTTGTGTTCTGAATACAAACCGCATTGGAATAAAAGATGCGGACAAGTTGGTGAAAGACGATGGGTTGAAGAGAAAAGAGTTTATCAAACTTCCATCGGCGAAGAATTGAGAGGTATTCAAATTCAAGTTTTATCATAGCTTGTAGAGAAGGAATACGCTCTTCCCTAATACGATAGGATTGGAAGGAGTTCATGTACCTAGAGTACAATTCATCCCTACGGTTTTCAGGCATGTTAAAACAAGTACTAATGAGGGATGAAGGAATATTGGATGGATTTTGAGGTCTAGGAGCGGGAGGACGGTTTTGGTGAGACCGACTCGAGGATGACCTAGGGCGTTTGGGATTAGACATGGTTAGGGAAATCGGAAAAGAAATAT